ACACACACACACACTTCAAATTTGGAGGCTCTGGCAAACATACTCAAACACACAAATACAGTGATGAGCATGGCTGCCAGGTGGAGCCTTATCTCCACTCCACAGTGGCTGTCCTCTCTCAGGGCTCAGTCGGCAGCTTATAACAGAGATGGAAGCAGCCAAAGCTACTAAAAAATATAAAAATCACTTTCTGTGCGTCAAATCAAAGCTGCTCGTCACTTTTCCAAATATCTGGCTGTTATGTATTTATCCCCATGGTGCCTGTGATTGCTGACAGAGTTGTGACATATGATGTACTTTAGCTGTGTACTTGTATGACTACACAATTTCAAAATCAGTTTGAGTAGGTTTATTTCCTTGGTCACTGAAGAGGTGGTGGCTCCGCAATTCAACTATGATTTACTGTTCAATTCACAAATGAGGTAAAATTGTGTGAAGATATTTTTTGATGCAGTATGAATAAATACATACGTATTTTTTATTGAGAATAATTCTTGATGTCTCATCTTCTTGGAGGATTTGTTTCATGTAAATCAAACTGACTGTTTCTACATTTGCAGGATTTTACCATATAGAGTGAAACTGAGTTTTTCCCCACATTTTTCAGGGGACGAGTTTGAAAACCCTCCGGGATCTTTAACATCTCCTTGAAACCTGATTAGAAAACCACAGGTACTGACTCTCCTCTGTTCGGTTTGTGTGTGCATCACGTGTGACCAGTAAAATGCTGAGGGCAAGTATAACACACTGGCCACAACAGGAGGATTAAACCACCTTTTAGCGCCGCACAGCTTGAAGATGTCGCTGTTGTCGGTTTGCCAGAATCTAACAAAACCTAACTGGGTGATGAGGGAGCACCAGCAGATTGACAGGGCAGATGTAAATTTGAGATCTGGCAAATACTCCTGAGTCTGAATGTTACACTCCCTGGTTTTTGTGCTTTTTGCAGCAGCAGGGACCAAGTGTGTTCATGTCAGCTGGATGATCGGCTTCAGTTTATCTGCCTTTCCAGAACAACACATAATGAGCAGCTTTCTACTGTAAAATTCAATGTGGACCATGATGTCTTTTATGTGACACAACCACCAGGGTCCAATTTCCCCTTGAACAACACTGTGATCCTTCAGAGTTTCATTAAAGGAATCGTTTCGAGTGACAGTAGATGAGAAGATCAACACCAGTCTGACCATTAAATATGAAGCAGCAGCCTGTAACCAGTTAGCCTAGCTTAGCATAAAGACTAAGAGATGGGGTGAGAATCCAAAGGTTAAAAAAATAATGCTAATGTTTACCTAACCAGCTCCTCTAAAGATCGTGATTAGAGATGACAAGGCCTTTGCAGTGGCTCAGATCCCAGAACCATTTAAATCATTGCTTAAGACCCACTTCTTCTCACTGGCTTGAGTTTGAGACCTTGATTTCTATTGTGCAATATTTAAATTCTTAAGTATTCATAATGTGTTATTGTTTTTAGCACATTGGTCAACTGGTGTTGCTGTAAAAGTGCTATATATAATTTGACCTTTATTTAAACATTATATATTGGTTTGTTGATCCATAATGGCCAAAGTAAAACCCATGTTCCCACTTTGACTGTCGTCCTTATTATAATAAGATATACACTAATAATTATTGAGGGGCTGGATATGCTCATATGTACATTTTAATTACCTTGCACCAACATTTTTCTTCCTTCAAAACATATCAAAATCCTGAGCAGATCATAAAATCCACGGAGTACATTCATGTTCTGAATAATTGTTTTTTATTTCAGTGTCTCCACGACCTTTACATCAGACAGCCTCAGCCTTTTTGAACCTCACCAGTAGAGACGGTAAGAACAGAAAATACATTGGCATTCCTGGACTGTAATGAACTCCGTGGCCTCCAGGGACCACTGCTGGAGCGTCAGACATTTAGTCTCATTTCAGTCAACTATCCACTTTGAAGTTTTGTCAAAGCTTCAGACCATTTTGATCGTTTGACTTCATCAAACAGGTGATTTATTAAGTAGTAATGTGTCTTGTAGCTTCATCTAATCTGTCACAAACTATCTGTCACAACAAACTGTCACATCCATCACTTTTACTGCTGCAGACAGAGGCTGTAATGATGAACTCAACAGGGCTGTGCAAATGCTGACTGGGTGAGACGAGTGTATGAGAGTGTGTGTGTGTGTATTACATTTTGAGCATACAACCTAGAGTGAGGACATTTTGGTCGGTCCTCACTTTCTGACCCACATTTAAAGGGCTGTTTGAGGGTTAAGACTTGGTTCTAGGGCTAAAGTAAGAATTAGGGTTTGGGTAAGTGTCAGGGTGAGGCATTTAGTTGTGATGGTTAAAATAAGTGTAAGGGGCTATGGAATGCATTATGCCAATGAGTGTCCTCACTAAGATAGATGTACAAACGTGTGTGTGTGTGTGTGTGAAAAGACTTGAGTCTTCATCAGCACTTAACTTTACTCCAGCACTCAGTCGTTTGCTGAACATTAACAGTCAGACATGCTGACAGTCTGTGATGTCGCCGCTGACAGAGATCGTTTGAGAGATTGTGTATGCAGGTTACTTCTGGAGCTCGGCTTTACTGCAGAATCAGATGCAGACAGTTTAGAAATTTTAAATGTAACAGCATGATGAGATTAATGGTTTATAGGTACAAGAGAGGATGTTCAAGAACAGGTCATGCATGCTCTGCAGGCTCGTTGCAGGTTATGGCTGCATTTCAGGAATTAGATGTTGTATATTTGATCCTCCCATCATGTCCTCGCTGTGCTGTCTGAACCTAATCCCTGGATCTGCTTTAAGTGGATATGATGTCAAATCAGCTGAGGATTCAATGGATACACAGATATGAAATTCCTTTTCATTCTATGCAGCTTTTTAGGTTTTGAGTCTGTGTTGAGAAATTAGGTCAGTCCAGTTTGTTTTGAGTTTTATGCCCTTATGTCAAAGTTTAAAGTGAAAAAAGGAGAAAAGATCAAAGGAGGATTTGAAACGAAACTTCAGTTTGAACATCAGCCCCTCGTTGGTGTTTTTAGTCGTTTGATAAACGTGTAGCACGGATCTCACTACTCTCATGACGTATACGTTTTAGCTGCAGCAGTGTTGATAGAGACAAAAAACCGAGCTCAAAGAAAATACATTTGAGTGAATAATAGTAACGTTCCTCCCTCTCTGTTTGGATGTGTACATCAGCAGCTGTCAGAGGATGGTGATATGTCAATATAGTGTTGCTTCTGCCAAAAACAGTCAGTCCTTGCAGGTTTTATTCTCTCTTTTCAAAACATTTACTGTTAAAATAGGTTGAAACGGAGCTCATTGTTTCCTCATTCACTGGTCTTGACTACTTTCAAGTTATTTCGAAAAAACAAATGGGAGAAGAATAGAGGGGAGTGAGGGATGAGTGGTGAGCATGTTTTTCCATTAAAAACAGGAGGAGGATAGGGGGAGCATGGCTGATTTAGCACTGTGTCAGCAGCGAGGCGTCGTCTGGCTCTCCAGAGACGAAGCCACTGTGAAGTTTTATGATTCTTTATGGAGAAATTACGTTGTTTCACAAGACATTATCATTATGAGCAAACCTTTAAAGGTAAATGAGGTTTCCAGTCTGAGCCTCCTATTGTCTCTAATCTTTCTGTCTTGTTTCACAGTGCTCTGCAATATCTGTTTGCACTCTGAATACAGTATGTGTCCTTGT